TCCCGAAAATAAAGCAATAGCAAAACAGAAAAATGTAGCATTTGTATGTGTGACGACCGACTGTCACAATTGAGACGTGTAATACACAACGATTACACTTCGTACGTATGGCGCACGCATGATGTCACACGTAAGTGTGTCATCACGCGTACCGATACCGTACGAGCAAACATGGGTTTATGAAGTCGCTTTCTCCGCACAATGTATAAAAATAAAGACTGCTTAATTTGCGATGGTGTCTATGTGTGTGTACCAATGGAGATCTTTAGTGAATGTGAATGGTATTCCGGGTCTTTTTCTCATTCACATCTTCATATCCACGCTCTGAATAGAAGAGAGATTTCTGTCTCACCTTAGATGAAAAATAATTTCAAAAGCAGATTTGCTATTAATATCGATGGACAACCGATAGCCTTCAGCGAAATGCCGTGTAATTCATAAATTTTATGACTCATCTTTCAATGTTCAAAAAAAATATTCTGACATCTTTTAAAATAATGCAAACTAATTGTGCATTTTTTTTATTGTATTTCAGTTGCAATATACGAAACCAGGCTATATTTTATTATTGCATCAAACATCTATTCGAGCTGATACGGTACAACAGAACGAAACCGGAGGAACAAATTTGGGTAATACAAGAATACGCATTTTACAAACAGTTGCACAGCGAAAACAACTTTATGAAATGTATGTAAACAATATTCTCAGTTTAAATAAAGGAAAAATTGGTGATGACGAAATAAACGTTCTCAATGAAAAGAAACAAAATATTGCGGATGAAACAAGCAAGCTTTCTGATGATGTGAAGAAGAATGATGCAATATGTAAGTATACTTGAAATTAGTATTGGGAGAATACTCAAAAGCAATATATATATATAGTTAAACTTGCATATTGTACTACTCTTATAGTAGACAACACGGAAAACGAAGAACAAGAACCCGAATGCCTTCCTCACAGCGTTATCTGTACATATGTACGATGGAAACAAAAAATGGGCATTATAAGAACAAGACAAAACATATTACCATTCACGCCTACGGGTGATATCAACGATGCACCATTTCCGACATTTGATAACACTTCAGAAAATCAATATCGATTTCATTCATCAAAAAGACAACCAAACGTCGTTGTGAAATGTCAACGTGAATATGGATGCTTGTGTGAATGCATGGATAAGTCTGTTTGTGTGTGCGCAAGTAGGTCATATATTCACCTACGGCAATACAGTCATGTTAACAATCAAGCGCAGCTATCTCGCACCCGCAAATCCATATCGTCTCCAACAGTTGCACTCCGATTCGACAGTCGCACCCCTGAATCATCACCATCACCTCCAGTTACACCTTCGTCCCGACTTACACCCACACCATTCAAAAATGATATACCGGAGCCAACTGACAACTTGCCAAATCATTCGGAAAGTTTCAAGCATGGTGCACGTCATCATCATCAAAAGAAAAATTCTGAGGCTAGTACAATTATAACAAATTCTTCTGTATCCTCGTTTGAACAATCATCTACAGCAACAAGTCGATTGTTACGTCCATACGATATCTCGTGTAACAGAAGTATTCAACACAGAAAAATTGATCACAAGTCTCTCGACAAATATCGATACTCACAAGACGAACGAATAAAACTCTGTAGAATATTTGCAAACCGCATGAAACAGAATATGAGTGAACTGGAAAATTTGTGTTCCATCGATTTTAAACAATTGCGTGAAAGATCAAAGCAACAAAACTCATCATCGTCTTTGCTGAGTATATTTCATCCTTGTGAAACAGTGAATATGAACAGCGAATCGACTGCAATCATCACTAAAAATAACTCGAATACAAAAGTCATAGACAGACTTCCTTCTCTTCACAATAGAACATACATCATTCATGTTACGCTTTGAATATTTCAAATGTGTATTATTTCAATAGATAAAAAGCTATTGTACTATTATGATTCATGATCTTGTTAATTTTTCGATTATTATTAGGGTGAAATGTGGTTGTGGGCATCGGGTGTGGCTGCGAGTGTGGATGTAGGTGTTGGTGCAGAGATGACCCACACCCCACACCCTCGTGGGATGCGCGTCAGGGTCCCTTTTTCCTTTGTAAAATGTAGTAGTCAGAGTTGTATCAATAACACATGATGATCACATTGATTTATTCAGAAAATATTTTGATTTATATATCCTTATTTTATTAGTCTCATTGATTTTCTTGCTTTTGTGGATATTTAGAGCATTGATCTATATTGATGAACTTTAATGGATTTTGTTGGGTCCTAATGGACTTTGATGGATCCTGTGGTTCCTACTGGATTCTAGGATCCGCCAGGCACCGCTTTTTACCCCTTGGCTCTAGGATAGCCCTTGAGGACCTATGAGTACCCCGATATTATAGGACTTGGGTATTTACGGGTCCCCATATATAATAGGCCTTGAGGACCTATGGGTCCTGCTATATAATAGCTGTCGAGGACCTGTGGATACTCTTAGATGATAGGACTTGGGAATCTGCTCACTGAAAAGAGCTGATCACTCGCTTCAGCTCGCTCAAACGAGCTGCTCACTTCGCGTCCACTCGTTTAAACGAGATGAAGCTGTCGCAGACCTACCATGAACCATTGGCTTATTCTTTGGCTATGATAGAGCATGTTTTTTGTGTCACATGAGTCCTCCGCAGAGACAGAAAAAAGTTAATT